CAAAAGCTGAGGTTGCGATGATGGGAACAAGATTGTATGTCCAATCGCAAAGCAAAGTGGAGCAAATCAACGCTATACCTGACTAAAACAAACACTCTGAGTTGCAGTGCAAGAATCTTTTGAAGTGTCCCTTGCGTAGGTCATCATAGCGATAAAGAAAATGCTTGTTGTTATCCTCTCTTAGGAAATGGCGGACATTCATTTAGCAGCGCTTGGTTAAAGAGAGCTTATAAAAGGGCCAAAGATGAAGCTGAAGAGGAGGGTAAGAGTTTTGCTGATATTGTTGCTAAAAGATATGGGGTTAGTCCTTTCTGTGTAAATTCACAGGGCCTCAAACTCAACTTGTGTCCAAGTCGCAGTCTGGTGATGTCAAATCATAGAGATGTCGCCAGAAATAAGAGTTTAGTCCACAGAACAAAACTTGCGGAAAATTAATAAAACTCTCTGGGAATTTGGACGTCAGTCAATTGGAAAGCAGCTCATTAGATGTAAACCCAAACTTTGCAAACGCCCCTTTTCCTGGCACTAATGAAGAAACTTTTTTTTTTTTACTTTTTATCTTCTTCATAATGTTAGTCTGTACAGAAACTGGAATCTATGATCCAAGAGGCCGAGAAGAGGTATTATTTCTTTGTTTATTTCATATCTTTTATAGTCATATTTTTTTCCACAAACAATTGGCTAGGCAAAATTTTCTTTGACACAAGGTGTACAGTGTCGATTGCCTGTCGTAAAACCAAACCAAAGTAATCGCAGTGTCCAGTTAGAACAAGGGAAAATACCACAAGGAACCTATTGGATCCCATGTCAAATACACGACCTCAAGCGCTGGAAAACCCAAGTGACCTTGTCGCTATTGGTTTCAATTCATATTTTAATTGGTGGAGAAGATGACGAGAAGTTTTCTGACCAATCACAGGGTGCAAAATTCCTCTTTGAAAATAGTGCTAACCGTGATTGAATTGCAAACGCTTAAGAGTCGTGGAATCGATGCGACGGTTCTGATGTGATTCGTTGTTTGTGTATTTAGAGAAGAAAAGCGGAGAGGAGAGGAATTCAGGCAGAGAGACAGAGAAAGATACAGAGGCGATTTACGGGAAGGTAGGGACCGTAGACGTCGCGACAGAGACAAAGAATGGAGACGAAACAGAGACAGAAGCCCTGAGGACAGATCTTCTCGGGACAAAGAAACAACTCACAGGTCTACAAGAGACGAAGAGGAAAGTAAATGGAGAAGAAGACCAGAACAAGGGGAGAGAGGGGGAGAGCGACCAAGGGATGACACAAAAAGATTTGCTCGTCCTGGGGACTTCGCTGACGATAACAGGTATTGAGTGTTGGCGCTGCGGTGGCCAATCGCCCAAATTATGAATTTGAGCGACTGATCGCAGAGGCAACAAACTTCTGTCGCACAGCTGAAAAATTTTACGAGAATTCGCCCGGTCACTCGAGGTGAACTATCGCAAGACGTTGATCGGCTTGCCGCAAAGACAAATTGCTGTAGCCTTTAATTCTTAAACCACTAAGAGTGACGACCATCTAATTTCTCCTTACAATATCACCCCTACATCACACATTAAGGTCAGGAGAATTAAGGAAATGATCACCAACTAAAGAAGCTCTTGATTGTTAAACAAATTCTCCTTGTCAGCACCTTAGGAAATGTATAGAGAACAGTATGAAGAATATGCATACAGATGTTAAGGAGAAAAAGGTTGAAGGAAAATAATGTTTCAGAAACTATATAGTTTTAATCATCGCCATTTTGAAAGTATTTGAAAAAAATATTCGCTATTTACCCTGGTTTGCGATTCTAAAGCGAAACGGGCTTCAAATGAGGAACTCTGCGGTAACATGGACAAACAAACAAAAGAACTGTGCGCGGTTCAAAAACAGGTGCTGCCCAAATTATTGAACAAAATGAGATCAGCTTGCAGTTTTTTGAAGAGATCTCCAAGAGAACTAGAAAAGAGGTTTGAGACCTAATTAGAACAAAGTTAAACTAACTAAACTCGTGCTAAGCAGGATTCAAAATGGCAGCGTCCATTGTAGAATTGTTGGCAAATTTGAAGATAACCTTTAAAAAGGTCAGGTTGCCGTTGAAAATCATGATACGCGATCAATGATGATTTCATCTATACTATTAATGGTGGAGATTAAGATAACATATGGTTTCTGGAGCACAGATCTTCCTAAAAATTTGACAATGAGATTTTGAATTGTCGTTCGTTGTCAAAATCTCCATAGGTCGTCCTTCGTTGGTAAGTTTAAGCGTCCTGGTTCTTCGACATCCACACCTCAGAAGTCTTCAACTTGGGACTTCGACTCGAAAGAAAACACAAATAAGGAAAGGCACTCTTACGACAGACCAATCTCCAGGCCCTCGGGCGGATGGAGAAAGAAGACAGAGACTGGAACTGAGAAGAGATCGCCCCCACCGGAAGTAAAGCGCACCGAGGAGAAAGAATCAGTCTCGGAAGTGAAACCAGAATCAGAAACGGACAACAGCTCGAGCTCTGAGGAAGAAGTCGAAGAGAAAAAACCTGTTGTGATTCCTGCAAAGAAAATCACTGAGAAGGATTTGAATGACATCGGAGCAAAGATTGTGAAGGCGGAAATTATGGGAAATGAGGTATGCGTTAGAAATCTCAATTTTTAGCCGACTTCAATCCATAGATCGAAGTAGTGTCTTGAGGTCTAAGCTTTTTAGTGACACAGTAGCGGACTTAAACAACTTGCTAGACTGTACCACTGGAATACTAATGGTGCAAAGTGAAAGTGTCCCGCAAGGCGATCAGTTCTCGCCGGCGACACGCTGTAGTGACCATTTAGCTTCGTGTGGCTTGGAGAATTTCTATGTTTATCTTTGTTTTCGTAGTAGAATTCTGTCCCCAAAACAAGTCACGTAAATTCAGGCTGCTTTAACCTCGTGCATGCTCGCAGCGGGAAAATGATATGCAGCGACTTGGAAATACACACTGAGTGCTTTGTTGCAGGGTTCTTTTCCAGAGATTTTCAACGTTAGATAATGCTTTGTAAATGCTGTTGTTAAATTTTTTGAAGTTTTTGGCTGCTTGGTGATTTTTTGCGTCTGAGTGATGGAAGAACATTTCTTGAACACTCCACAGGATTTAGCAACTAAGTTGAAGGCGCAGCTGGAAGAAATGAGGGAAAACAAGAAGCTCCAAGAAGCGCAAGTGGAAGAAAGTGGTACAGCAGAGGAGCAGATGGTTTTATTAACACGAACAGATGCATCAGGAAACGTATGGCCGGTGGAAATGACAGCTGAAGAAACCAGTGGAGGACGAAAGAAGCGTCGAAAGGTAAAAACGTCAGGGAGAGTTGCCAACTTCAAATTTGTGCGACACCTTCGTTTGTTAAAACATACGGATGCCACTTTAAAGTTTTGCTTCATCTACCTTTCGTTGCTGTTTCTTAGTGTAGACAAGAGATATCGTCAATAAACACACATGAGGGTTTGAATAGGATTGCAACGTTTATTGTGACAGTTAAAGTGCTTTTAAGGTTTTTTTTTTTGGCACACAATGGTGTGAGAATTCTACTAATATTTCACAACTCTTTTATTACTAAGATCAAAATATAAATTCTCTGTACTGTCTGTCAAATAGTACGTATTATTTTAGCTCTGAGAATTTAGTGTTCAATCAAACAATATCCCTTTGGTGATATTTTGCATTCTTCTCATCACTTTTTTGTTTGAAAATGTAGTTACGTTGTAAGGAGAAATTTCTTTCTGATCATTGTAAGGAGAAATATCTTTTTGACTACGGCTCCTGGAAGCCTATAGACTTATTCGATTACCCACTGTGAAGTTATTCCCCACGCTTTTGTTCGAGAACCTGATTTGAAATGGGATGGGGAATTAAAACCTGCCAACCGGAAAAAGATATTTTGACCGAATGGCTTTTTGGTTCTAGATTTCTAAGATTGTTCTCAAACAATGCAGGTTGCCACGCATGGTAAGGAAGGTAAAAGGGAGAGGTACTTCGCAGATGATGATAATTATGACCTGAAAGAAATGGTGAGAAGAGAGAAAACGAACTCTGGGCGAAATGATCCCATGATGGCAAAAATGTTCAAGGTAATCAAAGGCACGCAATGCTTGCTTATTTTTTCGCGGCCTAAAAAATAAAACAAAAGCGGTCAAATGTGTACCTTGCGCTCAGATCGCAGGGCTTCTGGTGAGTGCTTGTCAAGGTTACAAAAACTGGGGCGGTACTGTCGTTTGTGAGTCGAGGGTAACGCATTTCACTGTTTGTATTAGTAATCCATTTATGCCTCTTATTAGTGGCCTGCTATCGCCAACGTACATCCGGTTGTCACTTTTCTCCTCGCGAACGAAAAGAAGCGACAATCGGAGATTAAACTGCGTTGTTAGACTACAACGTCAAGTTCAGAGTGCGTAGCCTAGGTTTTTTTTTTCAGCCCAAGAGGAGCCCACCCCAGAAAGAAAAACGGGGTTTACCTGCCCATATCTTTACGACAGGGAAACGTGAAAAATAATGCTTTCAAAGAAGGCGAGTTGAAAACCGTCAAGTGTTTTTTGTTATTACTGTATTATCAACTTGTTCAAAGAGAAAAATATGGCCTTAAGTGAGGTACCTTCCATACAATGTACTGTTCGCAGACCGAATTTGAAATCAAGTTTTAAAGATAAATGGCACATTCCCTTGGCATAGTTGGGTTCAGGACTTAGATGAAAGGTGGAGGGCATATTTATACAACTGATTGTAAACCGTTCCTATCTGCAGGCAAGCGCAAAATTCTCAGATGACTTCGACATAGACGATCATTTTGTGTCATCTGCTGCACAAGAGAGATCTGCGGCCGAAATGGAACAACGAGAAAAGCAGAGAGCAATCAAAGGTTAGTAAAGCTTTGATTAACTCAGCGACAGAAAATATCGTTCCAATTGCAGGAATAACATGCCACTTCCTCCATTTTCTATGTAAAAGTCTTAAATGATCCCGGACTGGCGATATCAAATTTTACTGATAAAACTCAGCTGTTTTGAAACTCGACTGTATAACAGACCTACTTATTGTAGCTATTGATAGAATAAAAGCGCTTGTGTTTGAGCCACGTGACCCTCGGCCGCAGCCTATCCCGGTTTCCATAGCAGGAAGCGACTATGAGTATCCCTACTCCCCCCCTGGATTAGATGCTCGTCAATCCCAAGATTAGAGAGATTTAGCTGCACGTGACCACATGACCTCGGTTTTCCTGCCATTTTTTCACGTTTTCCAGTTGCAATTTTCCGTTTCTACGTGAGAGTAACCTGTTTCGAGTTTGCCGTGTAGTTAAGACTTTCTTACCTTTTTCTCGCGCTCCGTGAAGGTTAATTGCCGGAAAAAGTGCAGCAAAACTGTTTCCTGTAAGTCATACAAGGGCAGATGAAGTTTCATTATGAAAATCCTTCAAATGCTGCGCTCTTCTTCATCAGACAGCCACAAGAACTCACTTTAACCCACGAGACGGCTTCCAGTCCATTCCGCAGTGACGTGAGCTCACGCAAAGCTAAAGCAACAAGGTTCTCGCTATTTTACGTGAAACGTGAAAGGACAAGCTGACGTTTGCGGCTTTTTCACCTAAACGCAGGGCTAAATCTCTCTATAATCACCCAGCATTTCATCAGATTATCCTGACAATTCACCAGTACCCATTTCTACTCCTGAGTGGAGAGAGAGAAAGGCACTGTGAGAGTAAAGTGTTTTGACCGAGAATACAACACAATGACTTAGCCAGCTCTTGAACCCAGACCTCTCGACCAGGAGTTCAGCGCATTGACCATCATTAGGCCACTGCGTCACCCATTTATGGTGAAAATGAATTCGATTTGTTTTGCTCTGTATCAATCTCTTTCAGAGCATAGACAGTTGGCTGCTCAACTTGCACAATGTCGCTTCTGTTTTGAGAACCCTGACATCGCCAAACATCTCATCATTGCTATTGGACTCAAGGTAGGGTGAGCTGTGTATTATTTAGGCTTAACCCTAACATCAATGCCCATATTCTCCCTACTCTTTTTACATATTTCCTTTGGTATCGTCAAGGAGAATTGGTTTGACAATCGAAAGCTGTTTGGGTGTGGGATCTTTTCCTACATTCTCCTGATCTTAATGAATGACTCAGCAGCATTACTGTGAGGAGAAAGTCGATACTGGTCACTTTAAGGGTTTAAAAGGTTAAGGTGGGGTGTATTGCGCATGTGCAGTTTAGCATTAAGTGCCAACTGTGGGCAATGTTTAAGAATCAGAATCAGTCCGGCATCGATTATGAAGAACAAAAACAAAACAGAAAACCGAGAAGGAACCGACAAGGAGTCCATTGTGATAACCGTTAGTCCACCTCGCTTTTCACAAAAAAGATTTTAAAGAAACTTACTTTTCTTCATGGGGCTCAATTTCCGCCGTTTCTCGAGTCTGGCCTTCGATACTTCCCATGACTGTCGGGGGGTGGGGGGGGGGTCCACGGGCTCACTCCACAAACAGCGGCTGGTAATCAAGTCTACTGTTCATGTTGTCTCAAATAAAGTGTGTATTTTCTAGGTTTATCTGGCGCTTCCTTTGCACGAGTCTCTCACAGAAGGTCATTGTCTTATCATCCCTATGCAACACTGTTCTGCGGCTACCATGCTGGACGAGGACGTTTGGAGTGAAATTCAGGTTTGTTTTTGAAACAGTTGAATCTTTTGGGATATTTAGAATTTTCAATCTTTTCTCGGATTGACATTATTCGTTTCTTTTTGGTGTTCAACGCCTTTGCTATCTCCACACAGATTTACAAAAAAGGCCTCACCAAGATGTTTGAAGAAAAGGTAAGTAAATATTAAGCTACCCTGTGACAAAGCCGTAAGCCTCCGAGATCTCGATATCAATTCTCCCTTCTGTCTCCTGTACGTTTGTTCTAACTTAAGCTATGAGAATTTTATTTTAAATCGAACATTTTCCCCTTGTAGATAAATTTCTTGTTTCTCATCACCTCTCTGGTCCATATTGTAGTGATGTTTTAAGGAGAAATGACTTGTTAGTCACTGTTGAGAGGGAAGGGGTCATCCTAGATAAGGAGGGTGCAACTGCTTTTGGCGATTTTATGTTTGTTTGTTTGTTTATTTATACCCCTTGCAGAAGATCTGAATTACAGTTATAGTCAGCAAATTGTATACATGGAAGTAAACTTACAAAATACAATAATAAGTAATGGATTTTTATACATTTTGATTTAAATAAGTGGCAAACTTGTTCGTTACAAACTTTCTAAAACGGTCAGTTTTTGTGCTTTTCACATAACTAGCGGAAGAAGACCTGAGATTGTGCTTGTTACTTGGTTGAGCGAGGCGGCTTTTGACAATATTGAAAACAGGGTTAGACGTTTATCAATCTATTGGAGAGCTATTTAGCCTTCTGAACGAAAGTTTAGTTTTCAGGACAAAAAAAATCTGCGGCAAGCGCTGAGGAAAAGTATTCTCAATGTTCGGCTGCCTGTGAGTCATGAAAACGTTGTGCCCAGGCTCCCTGTTTATCGTGGATCACTGACGAAATGTTTTATTCTCCTTAAGTGTGCGTCTGACTTTGAATTGGCACCGTTGGGAGAAGTTAATAGTCATCCTTATTTTACGCAGGAGGAGGACGTGGTTTTCTTAGAAACACACAAACAGTTACGGAAGCAGCATCACATGATCATCGAATGCATTCCCCTCCCTAAAGAAATCGGAGATATGTCTCCCATTTATTTCAAGGTGGGTCCGCACGTGTAACGCCTACTAAACCTGGTAATTAAAAGAAACTGTCCAATTCTTTAATGTACTTTCGACCACGTTTTTGGAAATCAATCGCACAATTTTTGTTTTCGAAGATTGATCTTCATCGCTTAAACATAACTCGAAAGCTCAAATGCTTAATGTTGAATCAAGGACTCTAAAAAGAGCGAGCGTATTTCTTTGATGATTGGACCGTTTCGAAACACTGCAATAAGCGACGTTACTAGTCATGGCCCTCGTGCACAAGGCTCCACTGTTACAACAAATTGACACGTGTCCACCTAGAAAATCGATCTTTTTGCGCATCTCTGATGATTGGCCGCTGTGTCAGGCTTTAATTCGTGATCTAACGTACGATTATGAGCCTGGAGTCACTTGGAAAACCAGCGTTTACGACCATTACGAAAAAGTACTGAAGTAACAAGCACGGATTTGCTACTATTAGAGATAGCTTCACGTTGTCAACCTCGTTTACTGAACTTCATTTATTTTCCTTCAAATAGAAAGCCATATTAGAGTCAGACACAGAATGGGCACAAAACGTGAAATTGGTGGACACAAGGAAAAAAGGGCTGCGTGCGTCAGTTCCAAAGGGTCTCCCGTATTTCAGCGTCGAGTTCGGACTGGATGGGGGATTTGCACACGTCATTGAGGATGAAACGCTGTTTCCTTTATATTTCGGCAAAGAAATTATTGGGGGTATGCTCGACCTTGAGCCCCAAAGATGGAGAAATCCACGGCGTGAAAATTTTGAGCATCACAAAAGAAAAGTGCTGCAGTTTGCAGACTGGTGGAAACCTTATGACTGGACACGAAAGATAGAAAGAAATTGAAAGATGTCGCCAAGAATGTTGGTTCATAGCGGGGTTCAAGTGTACTTTCCAGAATGACGTAGTCCCGTGAGTAGGATATGAGGGCAGTCGTATCCGACCTTTTACCACAAAGCTTGGTGGTAGGAGCTAAAAGATTTTTAGTGAAGTGTTTCCAGCCCAAATCCAAAGTAAACACCACAGCCAGTTTTAGAGGAATGTTTATGAAGGAACCAGTAGAAACTCAAAGTGAAAACAAGTTGGCTGGCTAAAGCGCGGGAAAACGCCATGCCTTGGTTTCAGATTTGCACCTGAGTGGTGAAAAGGATGGCGCGAGTTTCTTAAACCAATCACAGACCACTGCAACAGACAAGGCGCTCTTTAAATGCGCCAAGTTAACAGTGCGCAGTGGATTACGAAACATGACAGCATAGGGGAACGTGACTCGGACACTTTAAAAATTAAACCAGGACAGGAAGAGTTACTTTATTTATTGCCCAGTACATCGACTCTTATCGTAAAAAAATGAATCTCCCGAAGTGGAATTGTAATCAGAGTCCAAACAACGTGAAATAGACATTTTTTTAAACTCAATAGAGATAATAAAACGCTTAACAGTATTGAAATTGGCTGTTTAGTTTCCTGCATAAAAAAATGTAACATGAAGCGATGATCTCAATCCTATTTCTACTCCGCTGGCTGAGGGCAACGCAGCCTCAGCGATTGAAGTTTTCATGTATCGTTCATTATTTGCTTATCGGTTTTAAATCTTTTCGATTATATAAAACTTGACGTATTTTTCCCGTTACAGAAGTTAATTACATTGTAAAGTAACGAAAGGAGAGAAAATTTTAGAGCGAGAATGTTAAAGACAGCGAATCGACAAACACATGAAGTTCATTGAGAGCGCTTTTGATATCTTGCTTTGAGATAATCTCATATAGAGAATGACTGTCCCTTAACATTTCAATTTCTATAATTCTTTCACGGAAAGCTGTGACGCTTTAAAATAACTTAGGGATTGTATTAATTTTTTTTTTGGAGAGGAAACTCAACAAATGGCAATTTTCGAATTTGTCATCACATTCCATTGTACGCCGGTCCCCCGCCCCCCTCGGGAACCACCCAGTTGATATTCTGGCTGGGGTCCTTAATGTCACATGTCTTGCAGTGAACACAGTTCTGGGCGTTGATTTGCAACCTCATTCCATCTCCTTCCTCCTTGGGGACATATTCATACACCCCCGCGGGGCAAAATCTCTGCTCGGGTCCGTCGTAAATCGCCAGGTTCCTATTGACGGGTACAGAGTCATCACGAAGGGTTAAATGCGCCGGTTGATCCCCCTCGTGGTTTGTTCCGCTAAGAGCAACAGATGACAGCAAATCAAAGGTTACTTCTCCGTCAGGTTTGGGGTACTCGATCGCTTTACATTCTTTGGCGGGTTTTAAGTATTCCGCATCAGGTTTGCTGTTTTTCAATGTCCATGGCTCCTTGCCGCGAAATATGTAATAGAAAATACCCGTGTACAACATAGTGCCATATAGACCCAAGGGGCTGTGGAAAGAGGGCCTTATGTTGCGTACGCTCTCGAGTTCTTTCCAGACCCAGCTCTCCCGCAGCCGTGACTCGTATGAATCCAAGAGAAGACCTGCCACAGAAGAAATGAAAGGCGCACGTAAATATTATGCGACCTTAGAAGATTGCAGTGAAAGGGGGTTATTAGTGAGATATTGGGACTGAAAGGGATCCAATGAGATATTCTCCCAACTGACTGCCTACATTTCCTTGTACATTACACATGAGAATTCCATTTACAATCAAGATTACAAGCACTCTGTGGCTTACTTGCTTCTCTGTTCTAACAACCTGTTTGCAAAATAATGTATTGGAATTGTGGTGAGAAATTACAAGTTGATCACTTTTAAGAGTTCAAGGAATAACACGGTTGGACATTTATACATGTTTTGTCCCATCAAATAGGCCTCTTGACAGGTCAAAACTAGTCCATAGCCTGACAAATTACTTCCTTATCAACAAAAATTATTCACAGGTTTGTTTCATGTTACAACAAAACGTTTTTTTATCTTAATTTTCAATCAATTTTTCATTCTATGATAATATCCAATTTTCAATCACCTTTCAATCAATCAAACTTTACTTATTTTGAAGAGAGGGAATTTAGGACCAATACCTTGTGTATCACAAGAATAATTTTCATCAGTTATTGCTTCAAATGCACATTCGGCTGCAAGCATCCCAGACTTCATTGCAGTATGGGTTCCCTTGATCTTTGGAACATTCATGAATCCAGGACTACAGCCAACAAGAAGGCCACCAGGGAAGGCCAGCTTGGGTATACACTGACAAAACAAACGAAGATGATTTACTACTGAAAACAGAATACATGAGATACCACAAGGTTGTTGGGAAATTCCAAGGTTGACAAAAATGTTCCAACCTGAAAGCCACCTTCATTGAGTGCCCTTGCACCATAAGCTATCCGTTTACCTCCTTCAAATGTTGGCTTTACCGAGGGATGAAGCTTGAAACGCTAAAATGCAACACATAATCATTTAGTAGGATCAATTAACCAAGAACTGAAGGATGTTTACTCTGAACACAAAGCTGCAAAACAAAAACTTGCACAAAACTTAGAACACCACCGAGCCATTCTTAAATTCGTGCTTTCACCATGTGTGTATGCATACTTGATCAGAACTAAGCATTAAAAGTAACAGTTAGACTCACAATGTAAAAAGGTTGGTGTATTTTACCCTTTTCACTCTAACATCAGTATTTCACATCCTCCATACTGTTCTCTGTACATTTCCTAAGGTGCTGACAGCACAAACAAACTTTCCTAGTTTAAGATACATGCTTAAAAGTAAAACAACAAAATCTTTATAGTACAAGTCACCTGAAATTCTTTGAAAGGGTACAAATAGGGATTGCTGTAGTCTAACCCAACCTAAACCAGAAGAAAAAAATGTCATGTTGTAAAAAGACATTGGAAACCAAAAATTTACCATTATAGTGGTAGACCTTGACATACAAAAGCGAGAAAGACATACAGACCCAGAATGCCACTGTTTGCAATTGGTATCTTTTTACCATCCACTTACCACAAAACCAACAGCAACCAGGGGTGTGTCCTCATCAAGGTGATACAAAAATGAACCTCCATATGTAGTTTTATCCTGTAAGAGTAAAAATAAAAATAATTCCTATTAACTCTTTTGGATGTACCCTGGGTCTTTGAGTTTTACTAAAAATCACATTCAGGTGTGCATCACACAATTCAGATTACAACTGACAAGTTAAGTAATATTTCAATCAAAACATACCAAGGGCCAGCCAACAGTGTGCTCTACTCTTCCAGGATGGTGTTTCTCAGGTGCTACTTCCCAAAGCTACACGAAAACAACCTTGCATTAGAAACTATATAGGTTCTGGCTTTGACTTAGGGTTAACATTGAAAAAGTCAGCTCTAGAAATTCTTTATGGTGGCCAGTGTCCATTATCAACTCAGTTGATAAAATCAAATGATCTTGTTATGCCATAGCCAATGTAGCACCACAGTTTGTCTAGATACTTGCCCCCTTTACAAGTGTTCTGGGTCTCTACAAACTGAGCTAAAATCACTAACTTGATTATTCAATGGAAGTTGATAAGGGTTGATAAACTACCGCAAATTTTCAGAAGCTAACATTTTTAGCCTTTCACTGGGGCAAAGCGCTGGAAGGTTAATGATCACACTGTCAGATATCAACTTTCCAAAATTCACTTTGACTATTTATTTACTGTTGAAAGCTTTTAGTTGATAATCAACTGAGTGTGTTGCTTGCTTTCCGGTAAACCACATCAGTTCCTTTGGAAACAATTGGCTTTGATCATGCAAGCATAAAATATTTAACACTTAAATTCTCTGGGATGATTGACCTGTGACTTCTCCCTACAATATCCACACATTAGCCTGCAAACAGGTAATGAGAATGCTCAAACTCATCTGGTAAAACTTATCTGAATCTAATACCAAACACTTGTAAGAGGGGTGAGTTAAAAATCAGATCTTAGGAACTCAAGGGTTACCACTAGCCAGAAATGCTTGCCAAAATATACAGACCTGAAGTGACACACCAGAAAATCATGAGACCAATAAAGAAACATAACAATTATGAAATCATTACTTTAACCACAAGTCAAGAATTACCTCTTTGAGCCCAATGGCATATGTTTGTGGATCACAGTTTTCCCGCAGGTCGAACTTCTTGTACAAGTTCTTAGCAAGGTGGCCATGACATCCCTCACCAAATATGGTAACTTTCGCATGGAGTTCCATGCCTCGTTCAAATGTAGGCTGTGACAGAATGCAAATACCATCATCAATTCTAAAATTCATCTAATATTCTCCATACAATTTTTAAGAGGAAATGTATAGCAGACAGTAAAGAGAATTTGCATAAGATATTGGGAGCAAAAGGGTTAGCAGCAAAGTTTAAGGTAAATAATTATATCATTTCTGGAGCCTACTGGTACTTTTCCTCAAAGATATAAACAGGCCAGCCTCAGATCACTGATATCAATGGCCACCAAGCCTTATCCTTCTATCTTCAACCTTGCTAAGCCTTGGTACATTTACATAAAGTTATCTTTTACACAGAGGATTTGTATCATATTTAATCACTTTGTCCAGAGTATGGTGAGGGTCGCACAACAGAGCGAGGCTCCAAATTAATTGCGCCCAATATCCCACCCATCCCACCCCAGGGGAGGACATCCATCACACAGTAATCTCGTGTGTGGGAAATTAACGTCTCCTGCCCCCAACCCTGCAGGAGACGGGACCTCCATTTATTCGTCCCTATCCGAGAAGACTAGAATATCTAAACATTTCTTGATGTTATGGAAAGGCAGCAAATTCTTCTCAATTATTTTAAGACCGAGTGTTGGTCCAGCCGGGGATTGAACCCTCAACCTCCCGCATAACAGTCCAGTGCTCTATCCATTGAGCTAACCGGGAGCCGGTTAAACCAGAAAAATAGCAAAATGTTGCAATGTGCAGATTGAAATACTTGCTTACCTTAGGAGCACCATCTTTCTGGATACCAACATCATTTGTAGCAATTCCCTTGATGCTGCCATCATCATGGTATAACACCTAGCAATGGGTCAAGAGAAAAAAAAAAAAAAAGGAATTAGCTGATACTATCATTCTCTTCCCTGCATTAAGTTCAGGTTAAGTTAAGCTTAAATGTTGGGTTTTATACCCTACAACCCATTAACTCCCTGACATGATAAACATTGAACTTCTCCCTTTAATATCTGTACCTTATCTAGCAAACAAGTAATGAGAAATTGTCCAGAAGAGATTGTTATCATAATCTAATCCCAAATTCTTGTAACCAATTTACAGGGAAATGTGGAGCATCTAGAGGGGAGAATTAACAATCAGATCTGGGAAGTTAAAGGTCAAGCCAGAGATCTTCTTCTCTATCTATGGTATGTCCCCAACCCTTAAAAAAGCTAATGCAAGGAGATTCTTATTCAGTCTAGGAGCACTTAAGTAAGAAAAACCAATTGAACTAATATCCTTCATCATTTTGGGTTTCAATTTAAAGTCAAAATGTATCTCCACAAAATATGTTCCAGATTCCTACTGTGAGTAACGACTCACTTCACTGGCAGCGTATCCAGGGTATATTTCCACTCCTAGTGCTTCTGCCTGCTCACCTAGCCAACGAACAACATTCCCGAGACGTACAATGTAGTTACCATGGTTATGCATGGGCAGTCCTGATAAAATATGAAAGAAAAAATCCAAGGGTCAAGTAGCTGTTATCATCTCTGTTAAATGTAATGAAGCTAATTGTACTTTAGTCGCGGTTAAAACCAAGCATTGTCAATAGTATGGTGTTGGTGTAGGTGTTGGGGGGGGAGGGGGCTCCAGGGTGGTTTTCAGTGTCATTACCATGCTCTCATGCTCAAATTTGCCTTTGCTACATTACCTACTTTTGTTTCCCTCACTTCCTTCCATTTTATGCTACAAATATACAATCCAAACACAAGTGTGTCAGTGTTCTTTATTAGACAAGTGTCTGTGTCTGGAGATGAGCTGCAGCTTGGTTACCATGGCGTCTGCTGTTACTTAAAAAAAAAAAAAAACACCTATTCTTCCATGCTATCAGCCAAGTGTTTTTAAATGTCGCTTGTTTAATAGTGCCTCCTACTTTGGTTCCAATCATTCACACATGTACCTCACCTGGTAATATAGGGACAGGAATTCTTCCAGTCTCTGTGAGTATTGCAAATTTATCCTCCTTTACGAGTGTATTGAGAGGTGCCTAGTAAAGCAAAAAGCAATTAGTATAGGTAATCACATGATTTCGAGTGCAATTTGGAATAAATAAGCACGAGTAAATTTTTTCAAAGACCAACAAAATTGCATGAGCCCGTAGGGCGAGTGCAATTTGTGGTCTTTGAAAAAATTTACCAAGTGCCTATTTATTCCAAATTACATGAGAAAATCATGTGATTATCTATTAATAATATACATTAAAAAAAATACGAGGTCGCTTCTCCTAACTACGTAGAAGAAAAGCGCGTGCATCAGGTGCAAAAATAATTTATTCAAACCCTGCAAGTTACATTGACCTTGACTTTGACCTTGACATTGACCAATCATTCTGACCAATGAGAATGTCTGGTTTGTTCATTTCGTTGCACTGAATTAACCCTCTTTAGCACTGAATTAACTCTCTTCTGCACTGAATTAACTGAAAACTACATTCATCTTAACCAATCAGAACTGAGAAATTTTTTCTTATATATTATTAAGTAAAAAATAGAGCAAGGAAAAAAACAATTCCTATTCCAGATAGTTTAGTTTGATTTCAAACTTGAGCAGGAACCTTTGTAAGATAAAAAGTTATATGTTATCAGAAGTTTGACTACTTGGTAAAATTATATAAAAATGACAATGATCTCATAGTAAAAAACAGATTGGACAGATTGCATAACAAGATTGTTAAAATATTTGCAGGGCTCAAAATTAACGGTAACCTGTTAACCAATGGTTAATAATTTTCAACGTTTGGTTACTAAAAATGTGTCTTGGAACTAACCCGACATGGTTAGTAAAAATTTCTAACATATTTAAACATTGGTAGACCTCAGGACAAAGAGCACGTAGACCCAACTCTCAGAGGAATACTTAGAATACTCAAGTTGTTTAATCAACTTAAACTCTTTTTAGAGAATGTGCTGTAGATGTACTGTTCTTGACTAATCATGGTAAACGAGAGGGAAATAAAATAGGTGCATAATTGTCAACGTTTTTAAGGTCACCATGCAATTTCAGCTACTCTTTAATTTGTCCTAGTCGTTATTATCAAAATGTTCAATATTTGAGATATCGTAACTTGTGAGCTTGGATACCAAACTTTATAATTTGGTTAGTAAAAAAGATGTCTACTAAACCAAAGGTTTAGTAATCCAAAAATTAAATTCGAGCCCTGATTTGCATGTCAGCTGAAATATCTAGATATGATATAATGTATTTTTTTGTTATAACTTTAGTTACTTCCACCAAACAGATAATGACAATAAACTAAGTAGCAAGATTTTTGTCCAAAAAGGAAAGGTGTTGCATACAGAAAGAATAGTTATAAGTTAGATGAGATCTTAGAAATATACCAGGGCTAACTTACCCCTTTGTCTTTCCAGTCTGGAATAAGTTCATTAAGTGCTCTTGGCTCTAGGCAGGCACCAGAGAGAGTATGGCCACCTGAAATGAGTGATTTTAATTAATGCTCCTCAATAAAGTCAAATATCAAAGATAAAATTGTGGAGTAACTGTGCAGTTCCTTCAACCAATTGGGCTTGAATGGTAGATGCATCAGAATCAACCTTTACCAGCTATAAGTATAATCGAAAGAAAATGCAAATTATCTCTCGTCTCCGGAGGGGTGGATAGGGGGTGTGAATGAGGGGGTGTCCCAGAATCCTGTCTGCCTTACTAATATATGTCGGACTAGACGATCATGGATGAACCAAAAAAAATATAATTCACACTCTTATCTAAGAGGAATCACAGAAATTCAAGTAGTAAGAACGTTCCGATTAAGCGTGCTGTTGATCTTCTGCTGGTAGCAAACGTGATTAAGACACCGGAAAAAGAGAAAAGAAAAATTTTAAAACTCACCGATTTCAGAAGCTTTCTCGACAAGACAAACTCTCAGTTCTTTTCCTGTTTCTTCTGCTAATTGCTTCAGTCTGATTGCTGCTGATAACCCCGCCGGTCCTCCCCCAACTATAACTACATCGGCTTCGTCCGAAAATCTCTCCATGTCTACTTCTGCAAAAATCAAATGCACTCGCGTCTGACAAAGTAGGATCACAAGACGACGCTAAACTATGTCAAAGAGGAAAGCAATAGAATCAGCTGGTGAAGTTATGCTTTAAATATAAAAATTACAGTTATACCTTTCCATCTTGAATCAGTTTCTCGCGGTACGATCGTGTAATGAGTTGTTATTTTGGGTACAGCTTCACTTGAGCAAAGTCTGTTATGTAAGACCGGACGCAAGGCTGAAAGAAGAGAGAATGTGACGAACACTGTAAGATCAAGCGCAGTATAAAGAAAAATGAACGAACGACTTCGTACCTCTGTGCACGCCTTTACCAAGAATCAAGACACGATTATTCCACATGTGTGCGTTGTTTAATACGGGAGAACCAAAGTTCCAGAAAGTATAAAATGAAAGTCCATCGACGTAAACTAATACCAAACGAGACACGCAACAATCCAAAGGTCAAATTTTCCGCGCGTAGAGTTGCGCGTTATACCGCTGAGTGAAGCGTCTTGACCGAGGCGAAAACGAAATTTCACGGAAATTTCACGAATATCTCACGACTGGGACACGAACTTCCACGAACAAGTAAACTCCGACAAATATTTATTTTGACCGATTATTATGGAGACTGATTGCTTCAAAGTGAAAGTAGCAAGAGGAAACGAACGATTTTTGGTTTGATTTTCCTTCCAACTCCAATATTTGAGGATAAACTATTTTAAAGCGATGACCAGTTAATATATTACGAGAAGCCTAAGTACGTTGCTTTCAATGTGTGTTGCAACTGGAAATTTCCGTAGCTGGTTACGACCAGTCGTCATTTCTTTGTACTTTGTACTTCTGTGTGTTGCACTTCCCCTCACTGTTTGGGAATTGCACAGATCCAGAGCTGAAACTCACGTGCAAGCCTGGTTCATCGCAGGATGTTTTGTTTTCTTGACAATCCCCATCTCTCTCTGGGGAATTCTTCAACATTTGGTAAATTATACGAAACCAGAGTTACAGAGACGAATTGTGAGGTAAGCTTTACAAATGTATGTAACCCCTAGAGTGTTTAGCATCTAATTTCTCCTTACAATATCACACATCAAGGTCATGAGAATTAAATGAAAAGGATCAACAATTAAAGAAAATCTTGATTGAGAAGCAAATTCTCCTGTCAGTATCTTAAGAGATGTAGAGAGAACAGTATGGAGATTATGCATACTGATGTTAGGGAGTAAAGGGTTGAAAAAGAATCAGTATTAGAGTGAATATGTTATACTGCCTGGGGGAAGGTCCAGAGACCTGGACTGAGACTTGCTGCGACCTCTTATGTGGCTGCATAATTTAAGGGATAGTGGTGAACATTTAAAGGTTTCCATGGTGATCTGTTTAAGCATGAAAAGGACTTCCCTTTGAAATTGTCAGTGATTGGCACTGTAGGAGATGAGGCTGAGCTCAAGTAAAATCAGGGGATTGAAAAGGGAGCCCTTTGTGCTGAGCTCTACCAGTAGAGTAAACAATTTTGATGACCCTAGAAATGATCTGAAAATTTTTTTGTTTGCAGAATTATTTGGATGGTTCCAATTTATGCAACAGATAGTGTAAGTGTAATCTTTAATGTGCCTTACAGTATTCATAATCTTTTTTCAGAAAGTTTTATAACAGGGAACTAAATCTCAGACCCTCCCATTTCTGGGTGGATGCTCTTCTTATGATTTCTCAGTGGCTACATTATGTCTGCTATCTAAAACAATAATAATGAGTGTTTCTCAATCTTTTATTTTAGTGGCTCGCTCTTCGTTTTCCAAAAGCAGCTATATACCTGGATTCCTTGCGAGAATGCTATGAAGCTTATGTGATATATAATTTTATGACATTCTTATTGGCGTACCTCAACACTGAATATGACTTTGAAGAGAAATTATCCCGCAAACCTCAAGTGGAACATTTTTTTCCTTGCTGTACCTTGCCACCCTGGAAGATGGGAAGGTGAGGAAAATCATGGACTCTTCCTGTGAAACTCAAATAGTTGAATGTAACTATACTTGTATTATTTGAATTGGGTTTTGTTATTAATAGTTGTTACAAAATATCCCTACTCTTTTGACAATTGGATTATTCATTTAATTAAACTCTTGCACCAAACCACATGGAACACAGAATCAAAATTGTTTCTTTGTATTATGGGACGGGTTATGTTAACTCTTTTTTCTAATAAAGTTTAATTGTTTGCTCATATACACTGTAGTCACTTCTTGTGTGGATTGGGAGGCATTGATTGAATACTGCAACTATTCTTTAGGTGATAAGATAGACTGGGTATGTCTCACCTTATCAACCATACTGCTTTGCTGTACGTGGCTGGTATACTTCAATTGTAGCTGTTAAATACCAGCCAATCAAAGCTGGGTGATGAATGATGAGGTGAATGGCATCCATTTGTGTATTTTACCCCTTGGTGAAAAATTGCAGTGAGCAGTCCAACTGTAGTTATCCCCATTAAAAGTGACTACATAGTGAGAGAAGCACTTAGGCCCAGTTGTTCACACAAGGCCTAACCCAAACCATGGTTTTACGCAAGCAGTGGGGCCTTTCATATTCTCTTTGAATTGTATTCATTCGTATTCTCTCTTAATCCTTCCACTGTTAACTTTTGGCCCTCTTGACACTGTTCACAAAAATAAAATTTTAGGTAAAAGATTTAGCTAAATTCAAGATAGTTTAGAATGTGGTTTTGTTAAACAATGTCTAAACTTTGTTTAAATAATCGGCCCTTAAACTTTGTTACAAAAGTGTTTTGTTATCGCACATGTATATCTTATTTTATCATTTTAAATTAACTCTTCTGCTTTAATGTTTGTACATGTGTTGATGGCGTGTTTGTAGTTTCACCCTTTTTTTTTATAATATTACTTTGAACTAAATTTTAATATGTACCTTGGTTGAAAGCTCAAGAGAAGCTTAGTTGGTAAGGCACTGAGCCAGTATAGGGGAGTAACAGATGCAAACTCTTTCAAAGCCTGTATTAGGTTTAGCCTATTTTTCTGCACTCTCTTCATTTGCAGTTCACTTGAAATAACAGGTCAAATTTTCTTTCTTCAAGGACATTGATAAACAGATGTAAACAAGGGGCATTATCTTACGCCGTTATAAGGATCCTGACTACTGTGATTGCTTTGTAAGTATCACACTGGAATTGCTTTAATTTGAGTTTGCAAAAGGGTATGTTAAGTTACAATCCATTTCACTCTTCTCTTTAATTTTTCGTTTCATTTTTCCTTTCATCTTTCAGCTGCACAGAGTTGGCTGGCAAATACCATGAAGGAGATCTGAGCTTCGAATCGGCATGGAGTTACATTGTGGTGATAAACAACTGTTCACAAGTGGTATGCAGATATTTCTGGAAGAGCTTTAACTTTGCTTGTAGTTTAACCCAAACTTCAAAAGTGCATTTTTTTTTTGTTTTGTTTCAGTGGGCAATGTATTGTTTGGTATTGTTCTATAAAGCAGCCCGTGATGAGCTCAAGCCTATAAAACCCTTTGGAAAATTTCTGTGCATTAAACTTGTGGTTTTTGCTTCTTTCTGGTGAGAGATTGTTAACATATTTTATCATAATTCAGCAAAACAGTAACTCCCTCCATTTATCTCTACAGGAGACCTCAAGGGCGTAGCTAAGACGTTTTCAAAGGAAGGATTGCATTGTGTCAATTAACTTACCCTATTGTCATGTTGTCATTCACCCTGTGTTCTACTAAAAGCAAAAAAAAAATTCCCTTCTCACCTCACCACTGAACAAATATGTTGCAAAAGTGGATCAGGATTTAAAATCATCGCTACCCTAGACCTTGTTATAAGTTTACTTTAGAATTACACCTTTTTTGTTAAAGAAATTGCTTTCATTCTTAGGCAGGGTGTCTTGATAGCTGTTCTGGTTAAGGTATGCCTCAAAGAAAAATCTTGATACTCTGTTCATTAATTAATTTATGATCATATTGTTAAAATTGATAGCCCTTCCTCTCCCCCCTTCCCTCACCCCCTCTCCTAACCCCCTCCCTCCT